AATTTTGGGGTTTCACAACTATTTCGTCCCCCGTCGAAATGCTAATTTCGACCGGGGTACACTAAATTTCGTCCCCCATAATAATTTCGACCCCCGTAAATATTTTCGTCTTTTATAATAATTTCGGGATCAATTTTGAATTTCGGAATTCAATTTTGGGGTCATTTTAAATTAACCGGGGTCGGGTTTTGGATTTTTAATTTTGGGGGCATGTATAGTTAAGACTAGTAATAACTTTAATTACTCTATATATTTTTTTCTAATACCTCTTACAATTCACGTATTTTTTTTTAAAGTCAAATTATCAGGATCTAAGTTAAAACTAGCAGGAGCACACCATTTCTCAAATGGTACATTATCATCTCCATCCCCATCTGTTTCTTGAGAAATTTGGTCTGATGTTGAAGACTTATCATCCTGAGTTGCAGTAGTGCAATTTACTTCGAGCTTGTTCTTGACCTTGTACATAGTAACAGGAATAACAAACTTTTTATCATTATAATGAATTTCTATTTTATCATTATTCCAATCTATAGTGTAGCTATATTTTTTAAGAAGCAGGTTCGGAAATATTAATGTTAACTTAGGAGGCTGTACAACTACAAAATCTTTATGTATAGTAAAACTTAAAGGAAATGTTATTGGAAAATTATGCACAATACCAATAGATTCTGTTAGAACTGTGATAACACCACTGAGTAGGATGGGAGGTGCAATATGAATTGAGCCAGGAATTTAACCAGATTTAATTTAACCAATTGAGCTTAGGAATTAGCCTTGGTGCAATTGGACGCAATGGTTAAATTCTGGTGCAAAGGCTAAATGCTGACACAATTCTGATTAGCTAGTGCAAAGGCTAAATATTAGTGTAATTTTAATTGGTTAGTGTAAAGATTAAATGTTGATGTAATTTTGATTGACTGATATAAAGATTAAATTTTAATGTAATTTTGATTTGTTAGTATAAAGATTAAATGTTAATGTAATTTTGATTAATAATATAATTGTAAAATTTATTGAATAATTGTTTTTATTTATATGTAATTTTAAATTAATTTTTATTATAAGGAATGATTTTTATTATTATATTTTTGTAATAAGAAAAGGTGTTTTATTTTAAGAAGGAATTGAGAGAGAGAGAGAGAGAGAGAGAAAGAGAGAGAGAATGAGAATTTTAAAAATTATAGTAAAATTTTAATAGTTATATTGATTTAAAATTTAGTTGGCACAATTAAATTGAACTTAAATTTAGCTGGTGCAATTAAATTGAACTGGAATTTAGCTGGCACAATTAATTGAGCCAGAATTTAACCAGAACGAAATTATTTAGCCAGGACACAATTAATTGAGCCAGCTTGATATTAATTGAGCTGACTATCTCTACCACTGAGATTGTACTTTACCAATTTATCAATTCTCCAACCTACACGTTTAACAATATCTTCTGACACAATTGGAAACTCAGCCCCACTATTAAGTACCATTACAGGATTTTCAGTTGTTTAATCTTACATTCAATAGTTGCAAGACTTATCGATTCTTTCTTTTTAACAAAATCAATCTCCATAGGGTCATTAAATATCTCCTCTTCCCTATCTGAATTAGGTAATACTGGGATTGGATTTCGATAATTCACAAAATTAGATTTTTGAGTAGATGGGGGTATGTTGGATGAGTTCTCAATCTTGGCTTTGAGCTTCTCTATTCAATCTATAGGTGCAATACCATCAAGCATATCTAATACAGCCCTCTGAAGAGACTTATCAGCAGAGCTGACACGGCCAATATCAGTCGATTTATTTTGAAACTTACCAAAAGTGGAAGTATCTTTCTATTTCGTTTTGCAGGATTTAGATTTCTTCTTAGTCTTGGATTTCTTAGGTTTTACTTTTTTTTACTTTAGCAGTGTTGATAATTTTTGTGATTTCGGCCTTAGTCAAGTCATTCTCAGAATCAGATTCCAATTTAGAACCAGATCCAGAGCTAGAATTGAATTTATTATCCAAAGAGTTAGTGTCAGAATTAGAGTCAGAACTTGAATTGACAATAGCTATATTAATCTTACCTTTTTTCTTGGATTTGCTTTTGTTAGAATGGCTAGACTTGTTCTTCCTTTTATTTTTAGGACAATTACGAGAATTATGACCTGTTTTATCACATTTTGAACATTTGTATTGAGATGATTTTAAAACAGCATATATTATTCAAGTTATTTTTACCTGGTTGATTTCCAACTGCTCAAATTGTAATCTCAAATCTTCTACTGGATCATAGTCATAATTTTCTCCAAGTAGGTCTGTACTCTGTAACAAATAATCTAAAAATTGATCCATAGTAATGTTATCTGCTTTTTGTTTTCCTGGACCAGAAGGTCTCTTCAAAGTGTAATCTTCTCTAGCAATACTTCCCTTTAAACTAGTCACTGTCTCCATAAGTTTTTTGAGATCATTTTGTGAAAGCGTGATTTGGTTAGATTGCTTTTGAATCTTGGAAGTTGTAAGTTCCGCAGATGTCATAGTGGTTTTTATCAGGCTTTTTACTTCAGATTTGATCAGACCTGTATTGCTTGAGTAATTATTTTTTTCACGACTCTTACTGGATGATATCGAATCTGAGTTTGTATGAAAGTAAGCTCTAGATAATTGTTCTACTGTATATTTTTCAATTTCTTCAAGCTTTGGAAATAATTCATCCGGAGTTTTTGTAATTCCTAAACAACGAACTTCCATCTGGTTAGCAGGTGAAAGTTTACGAATTGAATTTGTTGTTCATTAATATTGGCAAGTCTAGCTAATCTACACAAATTAGAATAAAAACAGCCAACTGGATCACTATCTTAAACAGTTGAACCAAAAAGTACTTGTTATTTCTCTGCAGTTACTATAGGGTAGTTAGTCTTAAACCAATATAATACCTGTTCAAGACGAATACCAACTAAAACTATAGCATTACCTATATTAGCATTGGGTACATTGGGTACATTGGGTAAACGATCAATTGGGTGTTGTTACTAGTTAACCTTTTGGGCTAATTTTATTTTCCAAAAGGCAATTTACAACTAGCAACTCGTAAACAGTTACTTTAGTTTACGAA